TCTTCGCCTCCAAAATATGTATAATATAGAGATTTTTAGGTCTAGGGAGGTTCTCCATATGTATTCTACTGTTATCTCTTTATAGGGGCCGAAAATTGGTTGAAAATCACGTCCAAATTGGTTTCAAAAGAGTTCTAATCAAATAAGGAAAGTTGCCTTCGCGCGCGGATTTTTTGTCTCTGCACAACAGTCCGTATTTTAGCCTTAACTTTCTCTTCTGATAACCGATTGATGCAATTCAAAGTGAGTTGGGAAGATAACTTAAAGGGCTCCAACTTTGATTGAAATAGAGTTTTTCCAATTCGGACGTTTACCGTACCACAAATGGGTCTCAATATTTGACTAAAAATCTGGAATATGTCTTGAGCGATTGGAAATTGATTTGATAATACTTTGATCATATTCCATTCCTTTTTGAATTCTAATTTCAATCCAATTGTCTCCTAACAATCTTCAAAGTATCTTCTTGAATATTTGTAATTTGATCCTCGAACTTTGGATTTTACCATTTTTCACCATATTTTGCTTCTTTTCTCCAATTCTTCATCAAACATAAAGTTTTACCTACACAATACAATATAACATAAATTATGTAAAATTTTGTCAAAAAATCAATCAAATTCTATAATTTTAAACCCCTGAATAAGTGTAGAAAATACACTTATCATTATCATCCCTCGATAATAAATTATAATTAAAGTGTACTAGTTTTCAATCAAATTCGAATTGTTGTACTATAAAAGTGATTGGTTGTAATATAATGTATGTAAAAGTGTTGGTTTGTAAACTTACATTGAATGATTGTATGAGATTCAGAATCTACTTATGGTTATCTATTTTCAATTCTCAACTATGTAGTTTAGAGTTTTTCATGCTTTAATTAAAATCGATAATCCTATTGTATTTAAATATCTTTTTCAATATAAGTTAAACATATTCTAAGCATGATCTCATCTTACTCCTATTCCGAATTCATATAATAAGTAATGCATTCAAGCGCACAATTATCAATAAGATTGCAGATGCCATGCATGTTATTCATCTATTGCTCATGTGTTAATCATGCAATGTTCTAAAACTATTATGAGTCTTCCAGCATTGCAATAAACAACTATCTAAATAGTGCACAAGAATTTAAATAATGCAACAAGCATGTTATATTAACCAAGAAGCACAAAAATTAACTAAACTACTTGTCTTTGAATTACAAATAAATAAACAAAGGGTTCATCTTTACAAGGGAAGCTTCTGATTCCTCGAAGTTATAGACATATCTTTTTTACTTCATTGCATCCTAGTTATTTTATGCACTTCGATGCATTCATTTGTATCATGGCCTTTGGTGCAAGGACTTTACAACACTTTACCTTCCATTCTCCAGGAGATATGTATGCTTTGCCTATGCCTTGAGAACATGTGGTAGAAAATGTGTTCCTTCTTCCCTTGGGCCCAATCGAGTGAAGATATTGTAATATAAGCCATCCAATGCAAACTTGTATACTTATATTTTTTATTATTCCTGATGCTATTGCTTTTGCCTTCTTCAATTCTCGAGGATATCATCTACTTGAATCTCATTGAGAATTAGATCTAATAATTGGCGGAAAGGAACATGAATTCCTTTTAATGGCCTCTTGCTAGGCTGGAGTCCTCTCCAACAAGTCATTCCACAATGTATCTCTCCTCTTCATCTTGTATAGCTTCGTTAGCATCATTTTAGCTTTGAAACGTGTGAAGTATCACTTGAGGGATTCTTCTTCTTTTTGCTTCACATTATCTAACCTTACGAATGATACCTGCCTTATTATGCTTTTATTGAACATTTTACGGTCATAATTAAATATTCTCGACCTTTGAAGTCTCGAGGAACGATATATGCTATTTTAGACCACTCATCCTCTGGCTTGACATAGCCTCAGGATATGTCGAGGATTCGCATTAGAGGTCCGATAATATGGTGATGACGTCCTCGGGGTAAGTCCTCGAGCTTTTTTTATCCAAGCGTGTTTTGTCTTCGGGCATTATCCTTTGCTAAAATCAAAGGTCTCCTTAAACATGGACTGATTCTACTTTCCCAAAGATTCTAAGTCAATCCAAATACCTCAACTCAAGACTCCCATGTCCAGAAAGAGTCTATATTAGTGAGTATCATAGTCAAACTATGGCTACACCTATAATTGCAATCCAATACTCATCTCAAGTGGAATTCCTATGGACAAGGATACATAGAAACCCAAGTCCTATCGGAAATGAGCTACCCACTTCTATAAACATAAAGCTTCTATTCATTATCCAGGTACGCTTTATATATTTTTCATCACTTTAGCCTCACGTATAAATTCTCTCTCTAACTTGAGCATCGGAAGGATGACGAGAAAACACCTCGATGCCTTTGTTTCAGGTACCAAAAGATTTTGATCATGGTCATTCCCAATCCTCAACCTTAGAAATCAACATGTACGATTTCTGGTAGTATCATTGATGCCATCTGTGGAAAGTGCCACTAAAAGCCATGGTCAACAAATATTCAGATCTTCCTCCGGCAAGCTCATCCGCATCGAATCCATCTCCTACAGTAGAGATACCAGCTCATCAAGAAGAATCATAAGCAATACCAGCTCCCCAACCATAAGTGGTTACCACAGGTGCCCTCGAAGAAATCGTCAACAAGTTGCAACGTTGACACAATTGCTAAGCCAGAGAAATTCTCATCCGACATAGGTGTCCGTACCAGCACCGATACTATTACAACCATGAGGATTCATGATCGATGCTAAAGCTCGGGTACCCTCGAAGCTTACGACAATGGTGGATTTGGGGCCTCGGGTGTACCTCCAATGACCTTGACCTCGAGTGTAACGCCCCAAATTTTATTGATTTAAATTTTGCGGATTTACCGATATCATTTCATAATAATATTTGAAATGAAAATATTTAATTAAAAATTTAAACTTTCAATTTATTTGAACGTTTTTATATTAAATGAAACATAGAGTCACGAAATCTACAACATTTAATAAAACTAAAGAAAACACAATTATCGTAACATAATTTATTATCGAATATTTTCTCGAAAATTATACCTGGCAACCTGCACACCGCTCAGCCACCATCCACGTCGACCGATCTAACCTGAAATGTTGAAATTTTAAAATAACATAGTAGGATATATGCGTCCAAAACAATTTAATAACGTTTTAAACATAAATTTACAACATTCCATACCATCATTTCAATAAGAGCAATTAGAGATCATTCGAAGGCAATAACATATTTCTATGCAACGTTTGAGAAAACTCGAAGGAGATCTCACATTTCATTTCATTTCGTTAAGACCCGTAGGTCAATTAACATTTCATGAAATAAATTACGTAGAAAAAATCATAATATTGCAAGGATATAACAACTTGCACATAGTATCCTACCTCGTTTGATAATAGAATTGTTGGAAAAAAGTAAGAAATTCACTTTCTCAAAATCTTTTCACTGTTGTCGTGTCTATATGCCAAGAAAAATGTCAAAATTATATTCTATAATAAAACATAAGTCAACTAATGATTACCAAACACAAAACAAAATTTTGGATACCTTACGGATTTAGGATTGATTCTGCTTCAACATGGTGCCCAAACCCAATGCAAAAGTTGTGTGTATATGGGCTAAATCCTTAAATCTAACGACACCTAATTAGGCGCAACTGGTACTAATTAAATAATAAAACTCTTCCTTAAACCTATTGGCATAAAATTAGGTATGAATTGTGCTAATTATAAGACACGTTTTACCTATAATATTAACCTATTTAAATCCTTAAAATCATTTTCTTTCCTTTCAATCTACATATGGCAAAAACATCCCTATCAATTACTAAAATCAAGACAAATAAAAAAAAATATCAAACTAAACCTAACTGACAACTTCTGTCAATTTCGCAATATCAAGGCAATGAAAAAGTAAAGAAATAATTGACAACTTTTCCATCACTTAGCACACGTGTTTGGACTCCGATAACTTGGGCCTCACTTATCCGAATTAGTTTTTTTATTGAACCTAATATGTATGATTAATTACGAACTATCTAACAAGCCCAATATTGATATATTTTTCATTACTCGATTAATACTTAAATATTTGGCCCAAATAAAATTGAATTTAATATACATTACTCTAGTCCATCACATGTGTTGCATACCTAGAAAGTTGTTCGAATTCCTATCATAATTGACAAGTGTCATCCTTCCTTGCTTACGTTGCAAAAATTCTATCTCCTTATGATCTCTCAAGACTTGTAAAAAGTATTTTCCAATAACCTTCTCTTCGAAACCTGCCCAAGTGAGGTTACGTTGTTGTTCCTCAGTCCAAGTGCGTGAAACGGACTCCCACCAATGTCCCGCACCATCGATTACCATGAACACCGCACATAAAACTTTTTGGGTGTCAGTGCAGGAGAGGTGCTTGAAGATAAGATATAAACCCCTTATCCATTCCTCAGCTGCCAAAGGACCAGTCACCCCGTTGAAGGTAGGGGGCTTGTAACGACGAAATTGATCCACAACTGAGCTCGCGGTATTGGAGTTAGTCTGTGCATTCTCGGGAGGTGCTTGTGTTTCCTGCCTACCAACATATTGTACAGCTCTCAACAAATCCCTAAACATAGCAGCTTGTGCCAGTTGACGTGCCATTTCCTTTAAATCCACCAAATAAGTTTCATCTCAGAAATAGTCAACATCTTAATATATTCGAACGAAAAATTCAATTTCATAAAATTTTAAATCCTAGAATACATGAGGGACGATTGGAAGAATTAAATTGTAGACGATGAAGAAAACCTAAGGATTATTCCAAGTACTCATTACTTTTTAGGGGAGGAGGGGGAACGAAATCATTTATTTAAACTAAATCATCTCTAGGTTGCTAGTCTTCATCTCACTTGTCCAAAAATTTTGAATCCTACGTAGCTTAGAATGAGGGGCTTCATTATTGAACTCAAGCTCAAATTCCTAGTCAACTTCTAGTTCAGGGTCTAGCTCGAACCCTGGCTCGTGCTCTGGTTCTGGCTCTGCTCTTGGTACATACTCCGGCTCGTTCTCTGGCTCCGAATCAGATTCATAATACGACTCCTCTTTTGGGTCTTCCTCAAATCTTCCTCTAGGTCCTTCTCTGGTTCCAGAGTAGAAATCCACCTATCCAGGAAGGTTTCACAATACAGCTCGAACTCAATCATTTTGGGATACTCCGGAGGGTTACCCTCTAATATTTTGTCCCTAATCACAATGCTCATGTCTCCCCAATGAGGTACCAGTGTGTGGGTAAAATTGTTAACAACTTGGAAATGTGCAACCTCATGCCCTACACCCCTTGCTACAGTCCACCTAGCGAAAACTTCCTCCACATGCTTAATAAGTGTGTGAATCGGGTCTGCTTCATAATTCTCATAAGCTTGGATAACCGTTGCCCTATGGTTTAGAAAAACAACCCTACTGGCCATTGTCTTCCTAGCGGTCTCTCTAGTTCTAGCGATGTGCCACATACAAGCCAAGTTCAGTTATGCTTAATATTTTATTAATGATAACACTTTGTCTTTTATGCTTGCATAATTCATTTTAGGGATGAAATAAAATATTATACTTTTATCGAAATTTGATTTAAAATATGCGATNAATAAAATATTATACTTTTATCGAAATTTGATTTAAAATATGCGATTTTGTTTTATAAGTGGTAACAAATATATTTAACATCATGCTGACAATTTATACTAGAATATGATATTTCATATCATTTCAACCATTTCTATGAGAATGCATATGCTCAAAATTTAAATAATCATTTTAAGTACTTTCGGTCTGTTAGATGGTAGTTGATTGATGAATGCTAGGTGCCAAGAACCTTGTTCAAATTCATGTTTGTTAACTAATAGTATCTTATCATAGAGTTTAACGATTCAATTTTTTTCATTGGCCTTTGTCTTGATGATTTGAATAACGAGCAACTAAAAGGCTTCCAGGAGAGGAGGGGGTCACCAGCGGACCACTTAAATCTCAAGTTCGCCTTAAATAGTTTAGGTAATTTTGACAAAGTCTTTCAATCTTGCGATATGGAAATCAAGAAAACTCCATCAATGAGTAAAAACTGAATTGTCTTTTGAAATCAATTTTCCTGAAAATATTGTTATTATAATTTACCATTATTATTATTATTATTATTATAAACAAACATTACGTGAAGAAACAGCTAACCATTTAGGTATCTATTACACATAACATTTTAAAAAATTTAATATTACATCATCATTTTCATTTGATTTTTTTTCGAAAACTATTTCAATTTCAAGGCGCACATAAAGTATTCTTTAGTAGGAAAGGTGTAAGTTATTTAAGGGCAAGATTGTGATAATTTATTAAATAGTAAATCATTAGAGTCAAAATTGTGCTAGTTACCTAAATTGCATTATTGACTCATCAATTGACTCCATTTCTTTTCTATTGTCCATATACGAAGTCCACAGTGAAAGCATTAATAAAATAAGAAAACAGAGACTGAAAAGTTACATTTTTTTTTTCACTATTCAACTTCACTGTTCATTCGTGAACAGTGACATTTCAAAAAAAAAAAAAAAATTTTTCAAAGTCTACGGAGAAGTAAATTGGTGCTCTGATGCCATACCGTAACGCCCCAAATTTAGTTGGCTTAAATTTTTGGGTGTGGCCTATATCATTTCATAACAATATTCGAAATGGAAATATATAGCCTCCGTTTGATCAACATTATCATCTCATGAAAATGAAAAATATGACCGTTATCCATCACATCATTTAAGTTCAAATTTTCTATATCTTGTGTGGGCCCCAATAACGCCTGTATTTTTTATTCTCATTCTATAATAATTTAGCTCAAACAGGTCCTTAATTGAAAATTTAATCTTTTAATTTATTTAAACATATATATATTGAATCAAATATAATCATGAAATCTTGAACATTTAATAAAGGTAAACAAAATAAAACTATCGTAACAATTTATTATGGAATATTTTTTCAAAAATTATACTTAGAAACTTGCGCACCGCTCAGCCACCATCCACGTTCACCGGTTAAACCTAAAATGCCAAAATTTTAAAAGAATGAGTAATTTAAACTCAATATGATATATGTGTCCAAAATAATATAATAATTTTTTAAATATAAATTTACAGCATTCCATATCATCATTTCATCAGGAGCAACGGAGATCAATCGAATGCTCTAACATATTTCTATGCAACGTTTGAGAAAACTCGAAGGAGATCTCACATTTCATTTCATTTCGTTAAGACCCGTAGGTCAATTAACATTTCATGAAATAAATTACGTAGAAAAAATCATAATATTGCAAGGATATAACAACTTGCACATAGTATCCTACCTCGTTTGATAATAGAATTGTTGGAAAAAAGTAAGAAATTCACGTTCCCAAAATCTTTTCGCTGTTGTCGTGTCTATATGCCAAGAAAAATGTCGAAATTATATTCAATAATAAAACATAAGTTAACTAATGATTACCAAACACAAAACAAAATTTTGGATACCTTATGGATTTAGGATTGATTATGCTTCAACATGGTGCCCAAACCCAATGCAAAAGTTGTGTGTATATGGGCTAAATCCTTAAATCTAACGACACCTAATTAGGCGCAACTAGTACTGATTAAATAATAAAACTCTTCCTTAAACCTATTGGCATAAAATTAGGTATAAATTGTGCTAATTATAAGACACATTTTACCTATAATATTAACCTATTTAAATCCTTAAAATCATTTTCTTCCCTTTCAACCTACACATGGCAAAAACATCCCTATCAATTCATAAAATCAAGACAAATAAAATAAATATCAAACGAAACCTAATTGACAACTTCTGTCAATTTCGCAACATCAAGGCAATGAAAAAGTAAAGAAATAATTGGCAACTTTTCCATCACTTAGCACACGTGTTTGATTCATATATTATTATTTTTTAAATCCTTATATAAACGAAACCAATTAATAATCAACAATACACGTGTCACCGTCAATATTAATTCATTAATCAGTTTAACTAAATTACGATTAAAAACAATGTTTTTGGACTTCGATAACTTGGCTCTCACTTATCCGAATTAGTTTTTTATTGAACCTAATATGTATGATTAATTACGAACTATCTAACAAGCCCAATATTGATATATTTATCATTACTCGATTAATATTTAAAATTAGTTTTTTTATTGAACCTAATATGTATGATTAATTACGAACTATCTAACAAGCCCAATATTGATATATTTTTCATTACTCGATTATTACTTAAATATTAGGCCCAAATAAAATTGAATTTAATATACATTACTCTAGTCCATCACATGTGTTGCATACCTAGAAAGTTGTTCGAATTCCTATCACAATTGACAAGTGTCATCCTTCCTTGCTTAAGTTGCAAAAATTCTATCTCCGTATGATCTCTCAAGACTTGTAAAAAGTATTTTCCAATAACCTCCTCTTCGAAACCTGCCCAAGTGAGGTTACGTTGTTGTTCCTCAGTCCTAGTGCGTGAAACGGACTCCCACCAATGTCCCGCACCATCGATTACCATGAACACCGCACATAAAACTTTTTGGGTGTTAGTACAGGAGAGGTGCTTGAAGATACGATATAAACCCCTTATCCATTCCTCCGCTGCCAAAGGACCAGCCACCCCGTTAAAGGTAGGGGGCTTGTAACGACGAAATTGTTCCACAACTGAGCTCGCGGTATTGGAGTTAGTCTGTGCATTCTCGGGAGGCGCTTGTATTTACTGCCTACCAACATATTGTACAGCCCTCAACAAATCCTTAAACGTAGCAGCTTGTGCCGGTTGACGTGCCATTTCCTTTAAATCCACCAAATAAGTTTCAGCTTAGAAATAGTCAACATCTTAATATATTTGAACGAAAAATTCAATTTCATAAAATTTTAAATCCTAGAATACATGAGGGACGATTGGAAGAATTAAATTGTAGACGATGAAGAAAACCTAAGGATTATTCTAAGTACTGATTACTTTTTAGGGGAGGAGGGGGAACGAAATCATTTATTTAAACTAAATCATCTATAGGTTGCTAGTCTTCATCTCTCTTGTCCAAAAATTTTGAATCCTACGTAGCTTAGAAGGAGGGGCTTCATCATTGAACGATATACATGACTTAGGCTCAAATTCATGGTCAACTTCTAGTTCAGTGTCTAGCTCGAACCCTGGCTCGTCCTCTGGTTCTGGCTCTGCTCTGGGTTCATACTCTAGCTCGTTCTCTGGCTCCGAATCAGATTCATAATATGGCTCCTCTTTTGGGTCTTCCTCAAATCTTCCTCTAGGTCCTTCTCTGGTTCCAGAGTAGAAATCCACCTATCCAGGAAGGTTTCACAATACAGCTCGAACTCAATCATTTTGGGATACTCCGGATGGTTACCCTCTAATATTTTGTCCCTAACCACAATGCTCATGTCTCCCCAATGAGGTAGCAGTGTGTGGGTAAAATTGTTAACAACTTGGAAATGTGCAACCTCATGCCCTACACCCCTTGTCGCAGTCCACCTAGCGAAAACTTCCTCCACATGCTTAATAATTGTGTGAATCGGGTCTGCTTCATAATTCTCATAAGCTTGGATAACCGTTGCCCTATGGTTTAGAAAAACAACCCTACTAGCCATCGTCTTCCTAGCGGTCTCTCTAGTTCTAGCAATGTGCCACATACAAGCCAAGTTCAGTTATGCTTGATATTTTATTAATGATAACACTTTGTCTTTTAAGCTTGCATAATTCGTTTTAGGGATAAAATAAAATATTATACTTTTATCGAAATTTGATTTAAAATATGCGATTTTTTTTTATAAGTGGTAACAAATATATTTAACATCATGCTGACAATTTATACTAGAATATGATATTTCATATCATTTCAACCATTTCTATGAGAATGCATATGCTCAAAATTTAAATAATCATTTTACGTACTTTCGGCCCGTTAGATGGTAGTTGATTGATGAATGCTAGGTGCCAAGAACCCTGTTCAAATTCATGTTTGTTAACTCATAGTATCTTATCATATAGTTTAACGATTCAATATTTTTTCATTGGCCTCTGTCTTGATGATTGGGATAACGAGAAACTAGAAGGCTTCCAGGAGAGGAGGGGGTCACCAGCGGACCACTTAAATCTCAAGTTCGCCTTAGATAGTTTAGGTATTTTTGACAAAGTCTTTCAATCTTGCGATATGGAAATCTAGAAAACTCCATCAATGAGTAAAAACTAAATTGTCTTTTGAAATCAATTTTCCTGAAAATATTGCTATTATAATTTGCCATTGTTATTATTATTATTATTTTAAACAAACATTACGTGAAGAAACAGCTAACCATTTAGGTATCTATTACACATAACATTTTAAAAAATTTAATATTACATCATCATTTTCATTTGATTTTTTTTCGAAAACTATTTCAATTTCAAGGCGCACATAAATTATTCTTTGGTAAGGAAGGTGTAAGTTATTTAAGGGCAAGATAGCGGAGAAGTAAACTGGTGTTCTGATGCCATACTGTAACGCCCCAAATTTAGTTGGCTTAAATTTTTGGGTATGGCCTATATCATTTCATAACAATATTCGAAATGGAAATATATAGCCTCCGTTTAATCTACATTATTATCTCATTAAAATGAAAAATATGACCGTTATCCATCATATCATTTAAGTTCAAATTTTCTATCTCTTGTGTAGGCCCAAACAACGACTATATTTTTCATTCTCATTCTACAATAATGAGAATCAAACGGACCCTAAATAGATAAAGATTCTGTCTAGTGCTCTTAATAAACTTCACTGTTTAATATGA